TTATCATGTTCCTCACACCAGCTCCTCCCCTTTGTCCACCGCGGCCCTCCCATCCCCCCAGATCACCATGATGGTGAACTAACTTTTAACTATTTTCTCTCCTTTACCATCCTATATCTGATCGATTACCAAATTATTCCCTCTGTTGCTTTTATTACAGGACGCACTGTTATTGTTCTGTCACCTCTTCTCCAGCGCTATCGATTACCTTTGGCCCAAATTCCCACAGCAGCTGCCACACTGTCCTTTCTAGCCCAGGTTTTTCCTTCTTCCTGCACACCCTGCTGGAATAATCTTTCTCAAACACTGTTTATTGTGTGTGTTATCTACTTTGGACTCCTCATTGAGCACACAGGGTACACCAGCTTCTAACCTGCGTGTTCCCTAGGAAGGGCCCGGATTTGTTCACGGTGTGCCCAGGTCACGGAGTCCAGCACAGGCCAGCACAGGCCGGCGCGGAGCAGAGAGCAGCAAAGGGACCCATCTGTTTGGCTGCTCCTTTCTCATCGGAACAGTTCGCCCTCCAGGCTTGGTCTCCCCAGCCCCACCAAGCCTGTCGGCTTCCTGATGCTCACTCGGGTCCCTTGGTTTTGAGGAGCCGCTATTTTTCATTTCCCAAAACCTTCAGAGAGGGTACACGCCGACATCCAGGTTGGAGCCAACTACCAACTGCAAAGGCCTTGGGGTGCAGGGTGGAATGAGTGCAGCTGCCCGCCGGGTCTCTGCTGCAGCAAGAAACAGAAGCGCTGAGGAGGGTGGAAGGAGAAAGGGAGTGTGGGCAACCAGTGGCTTTGGGTTTACAGAGGGATCTCGCCATGGAGATTCCAGCCTGCCTAGTTCTGGGCCCCTGGTCCGATGCCCTTAGATTGTTCTCTTTCTTTCTTTTAATATATTTTATTGATTCTTTACAGAGAGGAAGGGAGAGTGATAGAGAGTCAGAAACATCGATGAGCGAGAAACATCAACCAGCTGCCTCTTGCACACCCCCTACTGGGGATGTGCCCACAGCCAAGGTACATGCCCTTGACCGGAATCGAACCCGGGACCCTTCAGTCCGCAGGCTGACGCTCTATCCACTGAGCCAAACCGGTTAGGGCTAGATTGTTCTCTTTCTTGACAGCACATCACACACACACATACACAGACACGCACCCACACACACAAAGCCAATCACCACCTCAAACCCCCGCTCAAGTCCACCTCCTTCGGAAAGGCTCTCACAACCTCCCTCGCTTTGATCATTTCGTTTCCAACTTCCCTCTGAACGCTATGAGCTGTCTTCAATCTTTTCTACATTTTATTGTTTAGTTATTACCTGTAGTACTTTCAACCCCACAGGTAATAAACTCCGTTATGGCAGAGACAGTGTCTTTATTTATTTAACATCATTTATTTACTTGGAGGAGGAAGCAGAGGTGAGACCAGGCAATCAGGCTTGGGAGGCCACGTAAACTTGAGTCTGGATCCTGGTTCCAAACACTTCGCTGTTTGGCCCTGGGCGAGTCTCTCAACCTCTCTGACCCAGTTTCTTCATCTGGAAAAGGCACTGGTGATACTTGCAGAATGAGGGGAAAAGACCACGGAGAATGCCAGGCCTGGGCCGCGGACCACCTTCCCACACATACAGGCGTGTTTCCCACACGTCTGCTCACAGCAGGCACTTGTGCAGAGAAGACAATAGCTTGCCTTCCTTTCCTGCACGGTTGGAGCCTTCCACGAATTCCAAGTCAAGGTCCCCCCCCCCCCCACACACACACACACTTTTAAGCTCGAAGAGGGACATTATCAGTAACGACACCGGTAATCCCGGGACGTATGGCCACCGACCCTAACTCAGCAACCGGTGAGGGCAGGGCTCCGTTCGAGCGCCGCGGAAACCCAGTGCCGAGGCCTGGCGCCGAGCCCAGTGCCAGCGGAATAATGAAAGTTGTTGAATGAACCAGCGAACAGAACCAGTCCTTCCACCAGCGAGTCAATAAGAAAAGCTTGAAAAGCCCGCCCCCGCCTCCTTCCACCCCCATCCGAGTCCCGAAGCCTCTGGCAGCCTCCAGAAGCCTCCTTTCTCGAAGGTCTCGTCTCCAGCTCTCCCGCCCGCTCCCCCGCCCCGGTTGCCTTGACAACAGTGACGTATCCGAGAGGGGCGTCGCCTCTCCATCCTCGGCCGGAGCCTGGGGCCCCTTCTCGTCCCCAGCCGGGGAGAGGGTGAGGCTGGGGTCCTCGACCTCCGGCTCCCCCGGCCTGGGGCGACCTGCGCCCGCCTGGCCGCCCGCTCGGGCGCGGGGCCCCCGGAGTGCGGATCCCACCCCAGCCCTCTCCGCAGCGCCGAACTGGAGGGGCCCGGAGGGTGCCGCGACGGCCCGGGGACCCCTGCCCACCTCTTCGCTGGCGACGAGCCGGTGGACCCCGCGAACCCGAGTCCAAG